TGGTTTTTCGCATATTGACCTGTCTCTCATTTTGCCTGCCTGTGTTTGGGACCCTGCCTGCTGTGACTATGTGTATTGGACTGTCCCTAATAAAGATACTTTGCATTTGCAGCCCAGCTCTGTCCCTATGTTACACGTGCAAAAACAGTCTTTAGGGTGAATCTCGAGTCTTTATGATTGCTGTCAAAATGTGCAGATGAGGTCACTATGGGAATGTGAGGTGACTAGTTGAACCCGTCTAACTAAATAGAATATCCAGCCCCACATTAGTTTGTACTGTATTTACATACTGTTGAAGATGGCAGTATGCATTTTTGGACACAGACAGAGATTCTTGGAATGTAGTGTCTGAAACTGTCATTTTCTTTTGCTGTCTGTCTCCCAAAGAGCTAAATGGGTTTTTCTTTTTTGGGCACAGAGAGTCCCTCCTAATACTGCGTGGTAGAGTGGATACATACATCTGTACTGACTGACTATTAGTCACTACTGTGTAACTGATTCTGAAACCTAGTGTTGGTTTATATTGCAGCTACACATGCTCTCCTTTTCCTCTCTCCTCTCTTTTGCTGTCCCTTCTTTCGTTTAAACAAGCAATTTGCTTTTTTCCTCTTTAATGTTTAAGCTTGCTATCTGGGCTCCTTAGAAAAGGTTTAATGTGTTCAATGCTTGCCTTTTTCTTCTGAAAGAAACTAGTTAACAGTTGTCTTTCCCCACCTCTCCGATCATTTTGGTGTCTGTTCTGTATTTCCGTTTTTGGAAAGTCTGAATGGCATTAGAGCTCCTACATCACCATTAACTACATTTACGGGACATATCAAACTGTTTGTGCCTCTGAGAAGGATGGTCCTCTGGAGAGCTGACATTATTATCCATGGAACGTTCAGTTCATTCACTGACCTACTTATGCCAATATTAGATTATTTCAAAGTCTAATTAGCTAAAATCCTGAAATCAGAGACCAAAACAAACACTGCATTCCATGCTTTCCAAGGGCTCTTTCATGTTGGGGCCTTGATAGTCAGATCACTCAATACATCAATAACCCTACAATTAAAAAATAAAGAAGGAAATTGATTTTTGATGGTCGTATGAGCTCTTAGAAAATGTTTGTGTCATTCTTTTTGTGAGATGTACCTACTGTCCTAAATAACAATGACGATTGTGAAATAGGCTACATGAGAGTTGGGAAAGGGTGCGACACTCGTGGTTGAACACCTATATTTTTATGTTTTACACTTCTAAACACATACAGAGTAGGCCTACATTATGGACATGAATAATAATTCACATACACATATAACCCTAATGAACACAACTGTGCAGCTAGTATTCAAGTCTTAAAAGATGATCTAATAAATGGTTCCTTCAAGGGTTCTTTAGTGAAGACAGTGGTTATATACAAGTTCAATTTCTAAGTGAAAATAACACATAAAGAACCCTATACAAAAGGCTCTCCAACACAGAGAACCAATTAAGCATTCAAAGAACACTTTAAGGTACTGGCATGGCTTTTTGAGTGCTCGTTATTCAATATACAGCCTTTACTATAGAACCCTTGAAGAACTCCTTCTCTATGGGAGTACGTCAGCTGTTATGTTTTTCAGACCTCTTTAAATCCAAGCCAGTAACTGTAAGGTTGTGGGTTCAAGTCCCAAGACTGACTGGGTATTCTTGGTTGTGTTCTTATGCAAAGCACTTAACCCCCCACTGCTCCAGACAGCGCTGCTCCCAGACTGGGCATAGTTAGACAGCACAATGACAAATCTCCTTTGTAGGACCAATAAAGTATAATAACTGATCATTCACATAGAACCCTGAACACCCAAAGAACCATTACACGATTAAGTGGTTCTGTATGAGGGTTTTTAAAGAACATTTTTTATACACACTTAAAGATGGTTCCTCAAGGGTTCTTTAGTAAAGAAAATGGTTCTATATAGAACCATAAACAGTCAAAGAACCCTTTGCATGATTAAAAGCTCCTTCAGATTGATGGAGAATGTGTTTTACGTGGTTTCGTTAAGAACCTTTTTAAAAAAGCGTTCTATATAGCACCAAAAAGGTTCTTCTATTGTTACAGGCTTGACATCATAACAATGGAGGAACCCTTTTTGCTGCCCTATAGAACCCTTTTCAACAAGGTTCTATATAGAACTCATTCTCCATCAATCTGAAGAACCCTTTCATGATGGAAAGAACCCTTTAATTATGAAAAGGATTCTTCTTCTATAAAAAAAAAATTTCTTTTCTAAAGAACTCTTGAAGAATCATCATTTTTAAGGGTGTATATATTGTAAGCAGTCTTAGAACCATTTACTGTATAGAACCCTATACATCCTAATGGACAGTGCTAAATAAACTCTTTTGGTGATTAATTAACTTATGTATGTCCAGCTGAACTTAAGTGAATGTTGTGGGTGGCGTTTCATCTCTGTAAGAGTTAATTCTGACTCTTTGTGAAAGCTTGTGAGTCTAGCCTTACATCACCCATAATTCAAAGCTTTGTTTATGTCCAGAACCCATCGCTGTAGGAGGTCTAAATTATGCAGAAAAGTCCTCCGTGATGAATGAACACCTACAGTGTTGAATTAACACCATTCCAGATGGACCCAAATGAACGCTGTATGTGGTCAGTTCAACAATGGAGATAATATTGCCTTTAATAAATAAGCAATTATGTGATGAAGGGAAGGTGGACAATTGTGACAGCACCAGATTCACCAATGAGATATAAGCTAGACTCATATGATCACCACTGTGCACACCATTTTCATTCCTGTGCAGATTTTACAGCAGGAAACTTGACAGAACTTGATCAAATGATTGATATCAAACTCTTTGCATGTGACGCTTTCTTCAGCAACACACAGTACTGTGCAAAAGTCTTAGACAGCTAAGCAAACTCTTTAAAACCATTGATCTCAGCAGTGGGTGTGTTTTTGCCAGTGAGAACACAATATAACATTAGAGTACATGCAAATCCACATAAATACAGTAAAAAAGTAACAATAATTTCTTATTTTCAGAAAAGGTTGTTGTGAGCTAGTTTGAACAACAAAATGTGGTTCATATGGATCAGTTAAATTCTGTCACCGGAACCTGATTTAACATAATGAAGTATTAATTAGTCAAACCAGACGTTGTATGGTCACTACAAATGACACCGGGCTGCCACTGGCAGAGATTTGGAAATAGTTAAAGGAACACATTAATATATATGTAAAACAACCCTGCTGAAAAAAAGACCACTAGAACAATCAGGATCAATACCTTATGGTGAATGGTTACCAATACAGACCTTTAGAACACCTTTACATTCTAAAAAAAACATCCAGTGTGTTTACAATCAGTCACAGGTTACCTGTTAGACCATTAGGATCATTTACATTGTAAGGTCAGCCCATCAAAAAAAAAGGAAACATGTTACTAAGCCACTAGGAACAGAAATGTTTAATGGGTTCTATGTTTCTTTTCTTCAGCAGGGCACTACTTATTGTATTAATATTTGAGTATTTATTGTGTTACAGTAACCCCACTCCACCTAGCCTCTACACACTATAAAGGTTCTTGAGTTCTGTCTAGAACTGTTTCATGCTTAAATTGTTCTTTGCTTGGTGAAACCTTGTTGAAAATGGTTCCAAATAGCACCAGAAGGGTTCTGTTACTGTTCCAGTGTCAAGCTTGTAACAATAGCAAATAACTCTTTTCGGTGCTATTCAGAACTATTTTCAAAAATGTTCTACATTGAAGTGTATACAAAACATTCCCCATCAATCTGAAGAACATGTCACCATGCACAGAACCTTTTAAGCATGAAATAGTTCTATATAGCACCAGAAGGGTTCTGTTACGATTTCAAGCTTGTAACAATAGCAGAACCCTTTTTGGTGCTATGCAGAACCTTTTTTTTTTTTTTTAATGTTCTGCATAGAACCATATACAACATGTTCTCCATCAGTCTATAAATAACCATTTCACCATTCAAAGAGCCATTTAAGCATGAAATGGTTCTATATAGCACCAAAGTGTTCCATCACTGTTACGATGTCAAGCTTGTAACAATAGCAGAACCCTTCTTGGTGCTTTTCAGAACTATTTTCAAAAAGGTTCTACATAGAAGCGTATACAACACATTCTCCATCAATCTGAAGAACCATTTTCCCATGCAAAGAACGAGTTAAGCATGAAATAGTTCTATATAGAACTCATAGCACCAAATAGAACCATTCCCTTTACTAAAGAGCCATTGAAGAACCATCTTTTTCAAGTGTGCATGTTTGTCTGTTTAGTAAATGTGATGAACTGTGTTGTTTATGGATAATAAAGCTTAACTTAAGCTAACGTAATCTGAAAAAGGCAAACAAACAAACTTCTTTTTAACGCGAGCGCAGGAACGACTCGCTTTCCACAAAGGCGAGAACCAAACGGTCTGTTTTCCCAGCGTTTTCATTTACCACGTTTTGTCAGTCTCGAACTGCACTGGGCTTTATTCTCTGCTGCGCTCAGCGCAAACTTGACGGCAACGTTTTCCCTCCCGGTGCGAGAGGCTGCTTTTTTACACCTTCTGACAAAATGAGTCATCGCTGTAGTCGATGCTGCCTTTGATGTGGAAAAAAAAAGAACAAAAAAAAAAATGAATCTGAAAAAAAAAAACCCCACCAAAACTCTGGGACGTGTGCAGCACCCACGGAGCTTATTTTCGTTCGAAAGCAATCGTAAGTGGCTTGTTAAGGACGGCTGAGATGGCTGGATAAAGAAGGCGAGGGCAGTTATGTGGAGTAAAGAAAAAACGCCGGGTGATTGCGTGCGCTGCGCGTGACGCTCAGCGTGGCGTATAAAAGAATGGAGTCGAGCTGCGGAGCGCAGAGCGCACGGCGGAGCGCGCGGAGACGGGACACTCTGCATGCGCTCCGTGTTGTGCGCGGGATGCTCCACACGCACGTCAGATAGCTTTCTCTGCATTTGGCGCGCGCCTTCAGATGTGAACGGATCACTTTGGCATGGAGAGGAACGGCACGACTCAAGCACCGGCGCCAGGCGAATGCGAGCCGGGGCTGGAGAGGCTGGAGAGCAGCTCTGGGCTGGAGAACTGCACAGATGGATTGGTGGGAAATCTGTCCCTGCGCTGCTGGCTGCACCTTTTGACCAAAGAGTCGGGCGCAGCACTGCAGGGGGATGGCTCGAGCCTGGTGGTGCGCGTGATGATTGCACTGGTTTACTCGGTGGTGTGTGCGCTTGGGCTGGTGGGCAACTCGCTGGCGCTCTACCTGCTGCACTCGCGCCACCGGCAGAAACGCTCATCCATCAACTGCTTCGTTATGGGCCTGGCACTCACCGACCTACAGTTCGTCCTGACACTGCCCTTCTGGGCCATAGACACGGCGCTGGACTTCCGCTGGCCCTTCGGCAAAGTCATGTGCAAGATCGTCAGCTCCGTCACCACCATGAACATGTACGCCAGCGTCTACTTCCTGACCGCCATGAGCGTGGCCAGGTACTACTCCGTCGCCTCCTCGCTGAAGATGCGCAGCCAGAGGGCAGCAGCCACCGGGGCCAAGTGGATCAGCTTGGGCATCTGGGTGGTGTCGCTGCTGGCCACTTTGCCACATGCCATCTACTCCACCATCGCCCAAGTGGCAACGGATGAGGAACTTTGCCTGGTTCGCTTCCCAGAATCGGGCAGCTGGGACCCACAGCTGCTCTTGGGCCTCTACCAGCTGCAGAAGGTTCTGCTGGGCTTCGTCATCCCTCTGGTGGTGATCACCCTGTGCTACCTCCTGCTGCTGCGCTTCGTGTTGAGCCGCAGGGTCAGGGGTGCCGTCAGCTCGGAGAGCGAACATGGCCGCCACAAGCGTCGCTCCAAGGTCACCAAGTCGGTGGTGATCGTGGTGCTGTCCTTCTTCCTCTGCTGGCTGCCCAACCAGGCGCTGACCCTTTGGGCTGTCCTCATTAAGTTCGACCTTGTACCCTTTAGCAAGGCCTTCTACAATGCCCAGGCCTACGCCTTCCCACTGTCTGTCTGCTTAGCGCACACCAACAGCTGCCTGAACCCGGTACTCTACTGCTTGATCCGCCGCGAGTTCCGGGCCGGACTGAAGGACCTGCTGCTCAGGGCCACGCCGTCCTACCGCAGCCTAGCCCAGCTGCTGCCCCGTAAGGCTAAGGTGGCTGAGGCACCACCTGTTCTGGTGCTGGTGCAGATGGATGTTTAAAAGAGCCTGTTTACACTTGCCATTTCATGCATCTCATATTTGGATTAATCCACATTCTGTTTACACCTGGGCACTTGTGCTGCTTTTCTGGAGGTTCATGCAAATCTAAGGAATTCTTTTCCAGGATGATGCCACATAATGCATAACTGAACAGAAGATTAGCTCAGTTAACGTGTTATTGAAGAATTAAAGTAAGATCCAGTTTTTATGATGCTTGACAGGAGCCACTTTTTTGTTGATTAGTAATGAAAGATATCTGTGTATAGTACTGATTTAATTCAGTGTTGGTAGCTTAAATGGAAATGCCACTGTGTTTTTATCAACTGGTGAGTAAATCAGAATGTTTTGATGTGAAATGCTGAACTGTAGAGAAACAAAGTGACTGATTTCTTTACAATGGTGATGTAAGAAACCAGGGCTCTCAATGTCTACAATACAAATATGACCATATTTTTTTTTATTACTATCCATAATGACCAATGAGATTTTACAATGATGAAAGTAGGTAAATAATATAAAATAGTTGTAAATCAATAAATATAATAAATACATTTCATCTGGGGACCATTTTGCCTCACAGCACCCTAAACGTACCTGTCCAGAAAAATATGTTTTAGGCCAAAAGCTTGTCTCACAACTGCTGTAAACCAAGGTCTCAGGCATCATGAAAGCATTCATAACCACTTTGGTGCTGGTAGGAGCTTTTAGAGGTATTAAATTGGAGCTTTTAGAGCACTTTGGACATCTGGTTCCTATCATCACCACTGAAAAATTCTGATTGTAAGTTTTTCTGGAGTGGCGCATTTCACATCAAACCATTTTTGAATGACTTTGTTTACATCTTAATGCAGAAACTGGTGAACTTTCTATTTACAGATGGAAACATTTATACTTGGCTCAGCTGCAAACCACCTCAAATGTCTGAGGTGACCAGACAGCAATCCAATCCACCTCCAGTGTGTCTTGGTTACTCTCACACTTGGCTTTTTCACGATCAGGAAGTGTAAATAGGCTCAAAGAGATGCACCTGGTTGACTTTTAAACCTGGATCCACACTAGTTCAACCCAGCTCTTTGAAGCTGCCCCCCCCCCTTTTGACTGATGGACAGGAGCAGACATGAGGAATCCCTTGTGGGAGATGCTCCAGTTTCTTTACCTCTCTCTTTTCTGGTGTTTGTTTCATGGGTTGTTCCCTGGATGCAGCGCCTCCGGTCCTGCTTTGGCATGCATATCCGGTCAGCAGGTGCATCTGGGGGCCGCTGCAGTTCAGGACCAATGCTTTTCACCTTTGTTTCGGTGCTGCAGATTAGAAACCCTGTTTAAGGATTCTGCCCAGGACATCCTTCAAGGGAACAATAAATTATCCATTTGTGTTGTTCAACCTTTGAAGTCCGGCGCAAAAGTGCTGGCGGATTGTAAGCGAGGTGCATCCCCTCGAGCGCTTTACAACACCTCGCTGTTTCACAAGAGATGAAAAAGGACAAAATTGTCTGTCAGAAGTGCAACATCAAATGCTTAGTCATTAATCCATTTCCAGAAATATCTGAAGCTTTACGTATTGCATTCCGGTTCCTTCATTCAGTGTGCATAAGACAAATGTTGTGTGTGAGAACTGAATATTTATGAGAACAAAATCAATGAAACTGCTAATAAACATGATAGCTATTAGCACTCATCGACAAATACTGTACCTTCATTGATGCAAAAGAAAAGTGTACTGAATGATAACTTCTCTGAAAACTTCATAATGATTCCATAGGTTGTTAAAATTGTAAATATTCTCAGACAGTTTGATGTATGTGATAAAAATCCCTTCCCTGCAGCATTCGAATTTGAAATCACAGAAATGGGGCAAAGTTATTTTTGAACATATTCACATCATTAAAACATATTTGGGGAAATATAATTCAGGAATGGAATATTCAGTGCCTGGTGGGATTGCTCTGAGAGGGGAGTTACAGTTTCTGTACTAGCTTGGTGATCTGAATAGCCGTTTCTGAGTCATCAGTAGAATAAACCAGATAGAAATTGATGGTCAAGTCTGTTGGGCACTGAAGTGTAAGAGCAAGGCACAATAACGAACTGGGGTCCATGGTGTAAACACATTAACGACAAAGGCAAGGCCACTGTTTTGTCTGCTTCTTGTTAGAAAAGGTTGTTTTTCCTCCAATCTTTTACAGTACTGTTCAAGGACAGTATTTCAGGATTCACTCATGTTTAGTTATTATATAAAGATATACAAGGGTTAGAGATGCATTTTGTTAGTAATGCATCTTGTTAAATATTTAAAAACATAAGTGGTTTGTGACTGTTTTTATAGGTTGTAGAAATGTGTATAATAATTACACAATTTACAATAAGTTTGCCCTTATTTTTTGCCCTTAGTTTATGAATTGTATAAAATTGCTTTTAGTTGTCACTAATTAGGTCATAACACTTTAAAATCACTAATAAGAAGTTTTAACACATAATCAAAATGGAGAACATGTCTTCAGATATTCATATTCACCAGATATAACAGCTCACTGTTGCCCTTAACACATTTATGTGTTATAACTGCTTATTAATGATTTGTAATATGTTTATTACCTAATTACTAACAATAAACTTATTTTAAACCACTCATAAACTCTTATCTCAAGAGATGGGGAAAAGTCAATTTGCATCAGTGCACAATTTAATTATCATAAAGGGAATTTCACATAGGCTTATATGTAAATGTTTTTCTTTAAATTAAAATATCTCAATATTAACAAATATTTCTGATCACAAATAAAAATTTTGGTATACAGTGTGATGAAAAGAACAAAAAAGAAGAAAAAAGTTTGTTTTTAGTTTTAAGTTTACACTCATCGTGAAACAAAGACCTGTACAGTAAAGTGCAAAGGTCAAAGACTGCCCTTTCATGTATTTAATTTCCAGCCTTTTAGTTATTTAACCCTTTTAAGAAGTTTTATTACACACTTCTATAACCTAAGAGTAGCTCCTTTAGTTTGCGTTGAAGTCCCTGTAGTTATGTAATAATAAGCCTTTGTAAGAACTAAACCTGGAATGTTAAAGGGTTATTTCCAAAAGTTATTCATGTCAAGAAAAAGCAGAAAACAGAGATTTAGCAGAACATTACACAGAAGCCTCAACAACTAAATAAAACATCATATAATCATTTTTTGTTCAGTATTTAGTGTGTCCACTCTTTGCCCTTATTACAGCTGTTCTTTTCAGGAGATTTACTTTCAGTTTTTCAAAGAAATCTGCAGGGATATTTTTTCACACCTCCAAGGTTCAGTCTAGAAGTTGGTTGGATTTTCTGGTTGGTTGCAGTGACTCCTTTGGGAACAGCTTCTGTTGGGAGGACATAGCTGGAACTCACTGGTTCTAAGATTGGAAGGATGGAACAGTTAAAGTGGCAGGTGCACAAAATAAAGAGTGGACAAAACAAATACTGATAGATTTAATATTATACTTTAGTGTGACTGTCTGTTAAATATACAGTTGTATACATTTTGAACACCTTTGGTCAAATGACATTTTGCTGATTTTAAAAGAGAAAATAAGTCAACATATTCTCTACAGAGTACAAACTTAAATGTAACTGAAATATTTTTTTCTGCAAACATTAGAGCACAATTTCTATTTATTTGCTGAGTTGAACATTATTGGGGAAAAAAATAAAACAGCATAATATGTGTGCCTCTAAATGTTCACTTAGAAAATCAGTACAACATGTAAATAGTTTTTTGTACACAACTGTATATATTTTTTGTGTTGTACTTAATGGCTGTTTTGGCTGCAAATTAAGTAAACAAAAGGGTGGTCTCTGACTTCTCTCACTTTTAATCTATGATATGAAAGAGTGAGAATAGATCTACGTGCTCTGACTTTGTGTAAACGTTCACATTTCCAAGATTTTAGTGGTAGTATGTCTCTGCTGTGCAATAGTATCTTAATATGATGTCAATACCTTAGAAGTGTAAGGAGTACATATCTCTAGAGTTTCTGATTAACAGCCTAATCTAGCCCATCTAGGTTGTTATATGCTGTGTAAAAAGTGCAGACTGGGTATTTCCTGAGGTGACTCCTGTGAGATTTGCAGAGGGGTAAACGAGACAGAGTTAATGAGCTAGACGGGTTTAAAGTTTTAAATCTGAACTTAATTGGTGACATTTCAGAGAGGAGTCAGTAATGGTTTCTTGGTGATATTTTAACAACTTGAGGGGTGGGAGGGAGCTACATTTGCCTCCTGTTAATTTAAAACGATCTGCTGTCTGTGATTAATTTTTGACACTTGTTTTGTGCAGTGAAGATAAACATAGTGGACACAATGACATAAATTATGAAAAATAGATTGGAAGAGAACCCATTGTGATTGTTCTGTGCTTATGAAATACGTATATGCTTGAAGCATTCATATGTAAAGAATGTCTGCTTCGTAAGGATTGGGTGCTTCGTAATATCAAATGACAGACCTCATTAAAGACCACCAAAAGTGACTGCATTAAATCAGAGATGAAGTGACTGTAAGAGAAAACAGTCCTATCCTTTTGATGGAATTCTATAGCATGTATCATAAGGGTGTCTTCAGCGCTGTTATCAGTGGGGCTGAAAGGGACAATGAATTATGAAGAGCGTCAGCTGGCTTTTTGAAAGCTTTTTTGTAAAATGTGTGGGTAGGGCAGGGCTTTCATTTCAGAGAGAAGATTTTATGAGGTGGAACCGCCTGGAGAGAAGTGAGAAGCGAGCGCATGCTGAGCCCCGAAATCAAAGCCGTTTCTGCATTGTGTGGCCATTTAAAATCTGATTTGAGGGGGCTGTGCCTGAATATCTTAATCAGCCTAAGATGAAATGCAGTCAACTGCCTTTATTTCACCTTATCCCACAAAGAAAAGATCTCGGCTTTGGCCGGCCTGACTTGTGCCCTTTTGATGTGTTCTGCGTCTTATTCAAGCCATAAATCAGCAGCTTGAAATTGTCTCACATAGAGCAGAAGTGATTGAGAATTT